GCTATAGGTACCTGTTTTCTCCTACAAGCCAGCCACAGAGTAATTTGTCACTTAATTCAGAGTTGTATATAACATTACAGGAGCTGTAGTCCAGCCAAGAAGCCTCTGCCTAAGTTGAATAAGGATAGTGTTTGTTCATGCTGTAATTCCCAGGAGCAATGCAGCATTATGGGAAAATATTTATTTTTCATATTGAACTGACACAAAAGAAAGCCCTGGTCAATCAATTTAGTACATTCAAACAACAAAGGTCCTACATTAAACAAAATGATAATTTTGTTTAAATTGGTTTGTTTGTTTGTATGTTTCCATCCTAGGTTTCCTTTATGTTAATAAGGCTTTTCTCTGTGCATCATGTGGAGTTAAAACAAATGTTGACAAGTCGCATCTGCCCACTGTGTGAAAATTCCAAATTTTGTTCGGTTTTAGCTTGCAAGTAGCTGTATTATATTTCCTGTACCAGGGGGATCTCTGAATTAGTAGATGGAGACACGACATCCAGTAGGTGGAATCTGACACTGTATTAATCTAAGCTAGATAAATGCCAAGATTTTAACAAGGCAGGGAATTAACAATTATCTAGGAATGGGATAGACTCTCTTCCATGTGTGTTATTTAAAGATGGTCTATCTTCCTATCTGTTCTAGCTGGTGATTCAATCCCACAGACTGTGTTGTAATAGATAATAACAATCCCCCCAGCCATAACATCTAAAAGTGCAGGAAGCAGGATTGCAGGGAGAGAAACTGCTAGAAACCCTCAGTCTTCAGAACCAAAGTAGAGGGATGGTCACGTTACACCATTGGAACATCTTTCCTTGTCCATCCATAATACAGCTTCAGTGTAAATATTTCATAGAAATGCCTTATAATTGGTCTGTGGTTTGAAGCCTGACTTAAATTTAACATTGGTAGTGTGCCTTGCACTGAAGGAGTCTTTCCCTTGCTTTCTCACTTTTCTAACGCTCTGTTCCAAAACAAATAAATAACCTTGCAAATGGCTTATTCTGGTTCCCAGACCAAAGAAGGACAATTAAAGCCTTATGAAAGTGTTTTTAAATTATAGTTTTAATTAGCATAGAAGTATGGAAATGCTGTATGGCCACTTAGTAAAAACAGTAATGAAAATAATGCAGTCAACATCTCTCACCTCCAACAGTGTCACTCTGTCAGTTGACTCCTGTTTTCTGGAGGATGTTGACAAAATGGGCAGAGATGAAAGCCTGCAATAAAAAGAGTGGGATATTCTAAGCTCAAGTTAATCCATCCAGAGAACAGGAAAACTTCTTTCAGTAACAAAATAGGCCTTCTTAAGGTCAATAATAGCAGACTTCATAACTGACAACAGTCTGCTGAGCACAAAGGAAGTGTGACTTTTCCTTTTTCTTTGCCATGGCTGAATAGCTTTGTTTCAGCTTGTTGGTCAGTTTGTTTACAAGAAAAAGCTCTTGAGCAAAGAGTACCTTTCCTTGTGCAACATATTCCCATGCGCCCTCTGAAATGACTCTGCACCGCTGCGCTACCTGATAGCCTTTCACATGACAAAGTGTCAGGGTTATGTGTCCAGCAGTGCAGCAGGGGCTAGTTAAGGTTTCCAGATACACAGCACACAAGCAGGGACCAGCCTCACTGTAGGTTTTCCCTCCTCTATTGCCAAATGACAAAACATTAAAAGCTCAGCAGCACACAGCACCATTAAACTGACTGATGGCAAGAAGTCGTCAGAAAACACAGTTCTGTAAATCTTTCCCTGCACACATAAAATCTGGTCTCAGATTTCCCTGCCCCCTCCATGCACACACATACACATGCATTTCATAATTTCCCAGGAAGCCTAAACAAACTGCATTGCATTTGAAGAACTACCTCACAAAACAAAGCCCTCAACATCTTGTTATTCCAACACTTGAGCAGTGTTCATTATGAATTCTCACTACAAATTTCTCCCTTTTTGAAGCAGTGTAGGAAAATAACAGTCTCCCACTTTAAAGACATGGAAACAAAGGGGAAAAGAGGCTGATGTCACCAGGGTTTTGTGTGAGATGCAACTAGAGGCAAGGGCTAACGTATCTGGGAAAAACTCCCCCAAATATCCACGGGAGATCTTCACCCACAGCTGAGGAAACAAAGAAAACTCAAAATTTCCCGGGTTTGGTCTCACTCTGTGCTCAGCCCCGGCTGCTCTAAAATTAGACCTGTTTTACAGACTTGGCTTCGGCTGCTGCAGGAAGCAGAGGCAGCACATGCCAGTCCTGAAAATTTATTATTAATAATAATGGGGAGGCACTCCCAGGCTGGGGGCAGCCCCACATGCCAGCAAAGGCACAGCAGACAGTCCCCATGAGGACGCATTCACCATCTGCAATGACTGAATGGAGCAAGAGCAGTGCAAATGTTGTTATGATTAGGCCTCACAGGGGATTTTTTTCATACAAGCTGTCTGTTTGTTTGGCAAATCTGAAGTGGCCAGAAGAAATGTATCACCATCAGTGATGCTCCTGTTGGAAAGGCTTACTCAGGCCCACTGTGGTGTGTTTAGGAGGAGAGGTCCCTCCTGAGAAATGATAAACTACTCCAAGTCCCACAGGAAGGTGCAAAATAAGCCCCATTTTCTCGTGTGACCTGACAGCCACTTTAACTTCAGGCAGATTTTTGGTTAGTGCAAGCAGTTCTCAATGGAGCTTGCAGCCCTAACAAGTCAAAAGAAAGACATTTGCACATGAGTCATTGGGTAAGCCTTTGCTCGTGCTCCTGCCCCAGGGTAGATGCTGGCGAAACCTGTGCAAAGGCTGGCTGGGCTCTGCTCACATCACTGCCCTGTACTGTCCAGGGCATGGACGTTCCCCCCAGGGATGCAGGGAAGGAGGGGACAGTCACCCATCAGTGCTCTGGGGCTCCCTTTCCTGCTCTCACCTCTCATGAGATTTGGCCTTGTCGTCTATCATTACCATTTCCTCCTGGTCCCTGTGATGCCTGGTAGGCCCTGTGTAGCTCTGGCAGGAAAGGAGGTCCCAAAAGATCCCCCCACATCCCCTGCTGCTAGGGGAAAACAGCAGCACATTTTGCATTGTGCTAAATGTGGGAGCTCCGTGAAAGCCAGCATTTCTCCAAGGAACAGCCCCACTTACACACCTTCTCCCTAGAGAAAGCTGGCTCCACTTTGCTTTCAATGACTTCAGTAACAAAAACACGTAGCTCTGCCCCATGAAACTGACTGTCATCAAACTAAGAAATTAACTTTTTCTGCAGTGCTGTTAAGAACGCATAATGTTTATAGTCCCAACTGTGAAAAATGCGAGCTTTCCTGAGGTTCAGTAATGAAGGACTAGTTTAGCCTCTGGTCTCCAGAAGCAGCATCCAGAATTCCCCAGTTCCCAGCCCCTTGCTTTAGAAATGTTGGCTCAACTGCTAACCCAGAGCCCAGGCACTGAACATAAAAAAAATCCCTCCAAGCATTCAGTAAACAATGTCTGTCCCCAAAATAGCTTTCTAGTTTTCCTGTAATGTACTTCCATGCATCAGCTTATGTGACCTTGAACTGGTATCATTTCTCACTTGGGAATTCCTCCCTAGTATTTGTTGCTACAGCTCTTGAAGTATGAAGAATGAAGTGCTGGACTCTTACACTCCTTTGTTTCTTCCTTTCATTTATTTTTGCCTTGATGGGGAAAACATATGACTGGATATGTCATTACAGGCAGACAATCTGATAATCACTAGCTGATAGGACAACAATTCCAAAAACCCTGTCTGCAGCCAGTTCATTCTCTTCCTGTAACATCATGAAACTGCAGGGGTCAGGGATAAAGACACTGATATTTTTTTCCTTTTCAAAAATGCTGCAGTCTGTGTCCACCATGCTTAAGACTTTTGAAAGAGATATTTTGGAGCATTTCACATTATTTTTTGCTTATTTACAACGACTACCTCTTTTCAGAGATCCCCCCAGTAGGTTGTTTCTGTGGATTTAAGGTGTACATTCTGATGGTCCTTGTGGTTCTTAAGCAGCTGCCGGTTTTCACAAAGCAGTTGAACATCTTGCCAAGGTGCAAAGAGGGGGTCCCAGAAGTTCCACTGCCATTCATTTCTCCTGTAAGAAAGGCAAAGTCAGCCACATCCTCTTTGTGCAAAGGCGCCGTGCTTCTTGGCAGAGGAGATGTTCAGTGGCACTGAATCACAGGAATGGATGGGTGTGGAGGAGGTACAGGAGCTGGTCTTCCCATTCACTTCCTCACTGTCACCTCTTTCAAGGCCTTCTATTGCTGTCCAAGTTCCTTATTTGCTTTTCTCTCGTGCAATGAACTATAGATTACTATAGAACCATAGAGGGAACAAAGGGCCTAACCCAGCCACTCTGCTGTAATGGTAGGTGTGAGAAACAACTGCTCACTTTGAAAATTTAAAAAGGTTTATTAAACCTTAAAAAAATACAACAAAGTACTACATAAGGAAAAAGTTGCAGTGCTGGGAACTGCCTCTCGTGCATACCACACGGCCAGTTAGTCTTCAAGTCTTTTATACCCATGGGGGTTGCATCAGCTAGCCCTGGCCCTTCCCAAAGTCTGTCAGTCAGCTCTTCTTTGACATTTATCAGTGGAGACTTCTTTCTTGTAACTTGTTTGGAGGTCAGGTGTTGCCATGCTGCACCTCCCAAGCACAAGCTTTCCCATTCCCAAGTGCCCCAGGCAAGGGACACATGTGCACGTCTTCTTTCTACCTGTCCGAGACAACCCATTTATCAGTGGAGACTGCTTTCTTGTAACTTGTTTGGAGGTCAGGTGTTGTCATGCTGCACCCCCCAAGCACAAGCTTTCCCATTCCCAAGTGCCCCAGGCAAGGGACAGATGTGCATGTCTTCTTTCTACCTGTCCTAGACAATCCCAGCTGTCTGATGGAAACAATATAGGGAGGAAAGGGGAACTATGGGGACAACAGAGGACCTCTAAATTACAATAACATAACTATACATTACTAGAGCTTTCATTAATATTCACACAATAGTTATCTTTTAATTGTGAGAACCAATCATCTCATTATCCATCTATAACGTAGGGGACAAAAAGGGACAAACCCCCACCAAGATGTGCAGTACCTGAGCACTGGGGAGGCAGAAAGTCTGCCAGACCAGCCTCAGCCAGCCCTGCCCGGCTTTCCAGCCCTGCAGCGGTGCTGCAGGGAGGGCAGGCAGGGCTGCACGGCAGCTCTCTGGTGAAAGCACCTGCGACTTCCATGAAAGCCGACACTCGCTGCTTGCGTGTCCCTGCCACTCCGGATCCCAAGGCCCTGGTTTACTGCAGGAGCTGTGAAAGACAGCCTCGGGCTTCACAGCAGGAAAAAATACAAGGGATCAAGTATACAGAGGCACCTCATAAAGTACCCTTTCAAACCACATGCGGATTTACAAGAGGGAAGTGAGTGGCCCTCGGGGGGCTTTTACTTGCCTATTAGCACTGGCCAGTGCAGGGTGCACGCCCAGACGCTGGGATGGAGCTGTCTACACAACCCCAGGACTTCTTTCAAGTGCAGACAGGCAGCTGCACACACACCTCTGGGCTGCAGCAGGGCTCGGCGGGGCACGGCTGCTGTCCCGGGTCCGGCAATAGCATCCTCCAAAATCTACTCCACCGACTTCCTTAACACCTCTGTCCTGAGCCGGGGAGACACAGAATCACCCCGGGGACACTTGGGGCAGCACACGGACAGCCAGGGGTGTCCTCTGCTCTCAAGTTCCCCAGGTAAATGTGGGGCTGGGAAACGGGCATGATCCTGTCCAGCAAAACACCTAGAGCCTGGCAACAGGTAAAGGCTGGGGGCATAGGAAGAAGAAGAAAAAAATTAGGGGAAGAAAAAAAAGAAGAGCAGAGAGGGATAAAAAAGGTATGGAAAAGTGCACGGCTGAAGGGTGGGTCTCCTTTGCAGAGACAGGGCAAGAAAAGTGGTCCCTCCAGATCATAATGGGTTGCACAGGAAGAAGAAAGGTAAAGGAAGCAGAAACATAAAGGAAGAAAAAAAAGCGAGATGGGGAGAGGTGGAGAAGAAGAAGGGATCTGACTAGAGGAAGAAAAAGATAACATCAGAGCAAACAAATTTAGGAGAAAGGAGGAAAACTATGTACTGGAGGAGCTGTGTAGGAGAACGGAGGTGGAGGAAATAAGCATCTAAATGAAGAGAGACTAAGGCAGAATGCTCCCAAAGGAAATGAAGTGAGCACTCTGAAACAGTGTCAGACATAAATAAATCAAACAGGAACATTTGGACACTTGGAAAAATGAGAGGAAAAATACAGGGTAATATACTATAGCAGGGAAAAAGTGGGGTGGCAAGAGAAAAGAAGGAAAAACTCCTAAAACAGAGAAAAAGAGGGAGTCAGCCAGATAATCCAAGCAGTCCCAACACGTTTACTTGCATACTTTGAGGTGTTTGCTCTAATGAGCAGTTAGGACAGCAAAAAAAGTACAGAGTAATGCCATCACATCATTTATATGGGCAAGTGGGGATTTTGCAAGCTGGAAGATATATGCACGCAATAATTGTGGATGAAAGCTGGGGGCCAATAATTACAGCAGTAAATCATAATCCTTTTAATATATTATCAGTTTGATACCCAAGCAATAAATGCATATGCATAAGGGGTTTGTGCTTTAGAAGTGGCAGGAAGCTTGACTGCGAAAACAAAGGGAATGTAGAAGCTCAGTTCTCCCTCTCTTTTGGGTGAGAAAGTGTAATGAAATCCACCCTGTCTCTCTCTCTCCCCCATCTCTGTCATGACCATCATTACTAGACTTGGCTGGGAGTTTCACAGTGCATTTATTTTCTAATGGGAATGCACTTACTACAAAACTGAAATTTTCCACAAGAAGATTTCGATTTTGCTGTAGAGAAAAATCCTATGAGAAAAATTTGAACCAAGTGTTTCATTTTGGGCCACTTCAACCCCAGCCAAAATTAAAAAAAAAATCAATATGAAAGATTTTATTACACTGCTATTAGTGGAACCTGGACATTTTCAGTTGGGTATAAAACATCTTTAAAATTTAACAAACCAGTTTACTCAAAATTTTGTAACAGTCATAGTATCTGTAGCTTTGTAAGGGGAAATACTGTGCGTGAGCGTGCATGTAGATATTCATACACCCATATGCCAACAAAAAGTGAATAAAATTGAGGGGGAAAAAGGGAATAAACATACAGAGTTTATCTTAATTTTGAGCTGATTGCAAATGAAAGCCATTGGGTGACTGCTCTACTAGGCCATCTGTGTATTTCTTTTTTTCTGAAGGGATTTGGTGATCCTCTGGCAGAGAGGGGAAGGGAAAGTTGTTAAGCAGTAATTTAGAGCACATATATAAAAAGAAACACCAATCTATGTTCTGAAATGGAGAAGGGTAGGATATCTACCATAACTTTTACTAAGTAGTTCCAGTGATTAATTACCTTTTTGTTTAAAAATATGTTGCTTTCTTCTTGTCTCTGGCTGCCCAGTTTCATATTCCAGCAGTTGGACTAGATCACATCCTTTGTCTGTCAGGGCAAAAGAGTGAACTGTGACAGAATTTCTATTCCCTATGTACATATTTATAGATTGTGATCAAGTCACCTCTTAATCTATTCTTTGTTACATAAACAGAACAGGCTTCTCAGGCCTATCACAGTAAGATGTGGCTTTCCTCTCTGAACTCTCTCCAATTCATCCAGCACCCTTCTCCAGTTGGAGAAATCAGCACTAAGAACAACATCCCACAGCGGTGCCAAAGGCAGATGTTGCCTTCTGCTTCCTATTTAGCAGTCTCAGGACTGCTCCAGCTCTTTGGAGGACCACCTTTCCCAGCATCTCCTGCCTGGCTCACACACAAACACCTCGGTCCCACCTTCTTTGTAGATTTAATGACCAGATCTACCAAACATATGCATGTGGTGCAGGAGAGACCTTTAGAGGTGAGTTGTGCTATCCTCCTCCCAACCCCACTTATGGTGCAGGTCACCCACTTGGATTTGATTTGGGGGAAATGAATCCCTGCCAGGGGAAACCAGTCAGGAAGCTGCTTCCCACACGCATCCCAGCCACTGCCGCAGGCGTTAGGATCTGAATGAGCAACTGATGATTAGTCTGGGGAACTGAACTAAGTCTGATTTGACATCAAACACTGCACCACATGTAGAGAGCCCAGTGTGAGCTGCTTTAATCTGCTACTCCACTCCTATTCAGCCAAATCATTTGCTAATGTAGATATGGTTAGTGATGTCCAGAATCTGACTACTAAAAAAAAAAACAGGAACAAACTACTTCATTGATTTCAGTTTCTTAAGTATTAATGTCTGTATTTTTTAATCACTTTTTTCCTCCTGTGTTACTTTTTAGGAACAATTATATGTAAACTCCAAGAAAAATGTCTTGAATGGCAGAAGATCAGCCATCACTTGTTTCAGGACTCCATTCAAAACATCAAGCAAATTATAAATTTCCACTGACAACTGCATTTTTAGACCAATCACTGTGCCAGCATTTAACCCACTTTCAGTGTGACATGTCAATTTCATATCTGTATACTTAATACTTATAATTAAGGAAATATTGTTTTCTTAATTGAATTTACATCATATGTCCAGCTTAATGCCATACAGAATTCAAAGTACATTGCATCAAATACTATTAGCTGAATTTACTATAATAATATTTTAAAATATATTAAGTTAGCTGTATAAACATTTATTTAACATTTTTAAATTATAATCTCTTTCACAGAGTTAGTAGCAGTCTGACAACAACTTTAATTTCTCTAAGACCAAAGAAAGTCAAATGGAAATGCACATGACTGGTGTTTTCATCCTATATGTGTCATACAAATAAGACTGTATCTTTCCAGTTCTCTCAAACTTTCCTAGTGTTCAATGTCTACTAGAAAACCATTACTTACAGCCAAAGGAGGTTTTTGACTTGTTCTTTTCAGACTTGTGGACAGAAGTTGTTCAAGCCTCTGATTTAACATACCTACTTTAGTAGCTGCTGTTAAAATATTTTCTTGAATTACTGTTGTAATGGAAAATACATCATGACTATTGCAGGATTATATATTTTCAACTGGCTTTTTCCAACCAACACAGAAAGCTATTCTCATCTTCTCAGTGTTAGTATAAATAATTACACCATTTTTATCCACCGAGAGAAATAACACTGATAGGTTTTCTTTCCTTAAGTACATCAGAAACTTCTTGTCCTTAACTTGTATGATCTTTAACTGCGTTGGGCAAACACCTCTATTTACACTTCTCTTGCTTCCCTTGCAAATTTTTCATTCTTATCTTCTGATTTAAATTATTTTTTGTTGCATCATTCTTTCTTTCAAGTGTTACATGTGGGGTTTTTGTGTAGTAGAACAGCTTTCACTTCAGCTATGTTGTTTTGGTTTATAACAACTATGACTTTTTAGTAAAATGTTTTGAAACAGTTTGCAATTATCATTCACATTTTTCTGTTTAAATTCTCCCAGTAGATCTGACTTATAATTGTTTTCAGCTTTAGAAAACTGGTCTTTTTAAAGAAGCAAGAATCTATACTACTGGATCATATTTTACTCTTTTTGCACACAAATATAATCAAGGCACAATCTTCTGCACATAAGCAGACATTTGCTTCAGTTCTGTAATCAGTATCTCTCTATATGTCATAATTAGGTCATTTTTTTGCTGAAGAAGTAAAATCTCTATTCAGCCATAAGGGAGGATGGACTCAAGGCTCTGATCCACATTTGGCAAAGAAGCCTGGACCCTTGTTGTCTTGGGTGAGCATCCTAATCCCTGAATAAGAACTCTTTGAACCCACTCTCCTAGCAAATCTATCCTTTGTTTTCCAATTTTATTCTGACTTTAAAAATAGAGTTTTAAAATCTGCTAGATTGCAGTTAGTTTTTGTGGTCAAAGTTGCATATTCATTTTCTTTTTATTCACGCGTAGAATGAGAAAAATATTCAGACTGACTTAAACAGATGTTTTATTTAAGTCACAAAGAAAAAGAAATAAACATACTTGTCTCATTTTTGCCATCCACTTAATATTCTACTTGTGCATATTATCTTACCCAACTTTGGTACTGTTGCATGAAATATACACCAGGTTGCCCAGCACTGATGGGTCAGGAATGAGTGCACTTGTTGGCATCATGTCCTGGGACAGCTTCATTCTTTACTTGCTTGGGAGTCTGATTTTCTGCTGAGCAAAAGTATATTGTCCCTCTTTTAAATTTCTTCTTCATAATGATTTTAATGTCCTCCTGGCTATTCAAACCAAGCCCTCCATCAGTAAATAATTTACCTTTCCAGTGAGTAAATTATATTCAAACTTTACCTGCTTCTCTTCTTGGAGAAGGTAGACAAACATCCTCAAAGCCATCCTTCCATCTCCAAATGTGGTCAGCTTGCAGCACCCGTCTGTGTGTTACATCCCAACCACTCTCTTCAGGTTGCCTCCCTCTGCTTTAGGGATCCAAATGTATGTCCCAGAAGGCCACCTAACAAATTCATCACTATCTGTCATCACAGTCTTTTTCTTTGAATCCAGGGTAATGAAACTTAACAAGACCAGTGGTTTAAGACCTCCTCAGTTTCTCCAAGTCCCATGAGGTCTGTAATTGCTTCTGCTACGCAGTGCCATCCTCTTCTGGTCCTCCAGCACAACATTCATACAAAGGCCCTCTTTTCTAGATGGTCCTCTCCCTTCAATGGGGCCACATCCACTTCTGACAGTGATTCTCAGAGATTCCATTGCATGTGCCTGCCTCAGTGTTCACAGTCATTACTTTCAGATGGATAACTTGCACTCATCATCTGTGTTTTTGTAATTTCTGGCTTAGTCCTGCAGCACATCCTTCACATGGCCTGCATTGCAATTTAATTGGAAGCAGGTTGTGGTACAGAAGGCAATCACACACCTGGGATGTGCATCTCTGCTCTGGGACCCAGGTCGGCCCCTTTTGAGTGGCCTGACTTATTTGAATATGATGGTTTGGGCACAGGAAGCCCAGAGCCTCCAGGGAAGATCTTTCCTAAGACAAATACTTGGTCATGTATCTCTCAGAGATGCAGGCATTAGAAACAGTGAGACTGGATTATGTTCCCTTCAATATAATAGAGAAGGTATAGCCAGCAAAATACAAAAATCTTTCAGGGCTTCATAAATCCCTTCCTGTAGTCTGACACCACCTGTATTTGTTGACTTTCAGACATGCTACAAGACCCATGTGTTGGATCTGCTCTTTGAGGAGCCTTAAGAGGACTGGTTGATGAATGGGGCTCCAGTGTTTATTTACTTCAGTTTGGTAGAAGCAGTGAGTCAATTATATTGCATTTTGGTTTTGCAGTTCTAAACTGGCAGAGTGCTTACAGCCTATGAAGGAACACATTTTGTTTATTTTAAATATCTGAAAAAATTGAATAAATAAAATGATGCAGTTGGTATAAGATTTATGATGTCCTGAATTTTCCATGATTTTAAGTGGTTGGTTTTGTACATGACGTGTTACTCAAGTATGCAGCCCAATACCAGTCTTGTCTGGCTTTTGAAACAAAAGATCTTTTGTTGTGGTGAATCACAGAGAAAGCTTTGCAGGTCCTGTTTTCATGATGACACTTACAAGCAAGAATTCCCATAAAGTCCCATCACCCTTTCTGGAGAGGAAAAGTTAAGATTCATACAGCAGATATGTTGCTATCTGTCAGAGTCAGAAAGACCAACAATGAAAAAAGAAAAATAATTGCTGAATAACTTCACTTTTTTGCCATCATTTTCCACATAAGGTATCCAATATGTCAATGAAGAGACAGAACCATAAAGTCACACCCTTCATCCAGTAATGTGCCCCTTTAATTTTCCAATCAAATTAACTAACAACAAACTGACTGCCTTCTAAGACAAGCTCAGAACTGAAAATTCTCTTTGTCCTGGTAATGTTGAGAGTAGATTTATGAAAAATACTTTTACTTAATAAACTGAATAGATACTAGAACGCATCATTCATGGATGTTGTACAGTCCTGTGAATGTTAACATCTTTAAAGCAGATACTCACTTTAGCCAACTCCTTGCTTAAGTGTTCTGATAAAATGTATCCTGAAGTCACTGGGCGCCTTTCTGCTTCTTCAATGGACATTGGAGTAGCTTCTAAAAAGTTATCAAGGCGTAACAGATGAGCTTTTAGAGGCTTTTCTGACTGTTAGGACAAGCTTTCCTTTAAAATAAATTTTGATGTCAGGAAGGCTTCTTAACACATTACCAAGAGGGCCATGAAATGTCTGGCTAATCACAAATCCTTTCACACCAATCAAAAACTTTCTAATACACTGAATAGCTACAGTTAGGTCTGGCAAACTCTTGTTTAAAGCACTTTAAGGTAAATATGGAAATTAAGAGATTAGAAAAGCAGTATGTTGGGTGAGTTATTAACCGAGGTAATCCGGGCCTGCTTATCCATGTGCCACCATATGCTCTACGTTCTTCCTTAAGCTTATCCTAATGTGTTTTCCTTAAGGCTCTTTTCCACTTCCTTAGTTCATGAAATAAAGCAACATTAGCTCGTCTCAGTGTTAACAGATGTTGTGAGGAATTATTTTAAAGTCACTTGTATCCTGTATCTCTCCATATCTTTCAGCTCGATTGCAGTGAATTTCAGGAGGTTTTGCCCAGGAAAAAAAAAAAACCCAAACTATAGGGATTTACACCACACCCTCACTACCATTAAATAAACCTAGCATGAAGCTAAATCAATGCAATCCAAGTATTTTTATACATTTTAGAAGTCTTTTCACATCCTCAGTTCTCCCTTGAAATGGCAGAGATCCAGTTTGGGACACAGTCCATACACTTTATACTGTTCATGTACAGCTCTGATTTGGAAAATCAGAAAGTGGTGGAACCTCAGAGCAAAGAGAAATTATTGTACTCACCACTCCCTGCTTTACAGACATAATAACAAATCTGAAGTTTCAGGAGCAGAGCAAGAATTTCTAGTGGACGTTGATGTTGTTTTTGTTGTTGTTATTATTATTATTGTTGTTATTATTAGTATTATTGTTCACTGTCTTTCAGTAGTATTCATGCCCAAATACAGCTTCCTAGAAGAGAAATTGCAGTAGTTAGATACTTAGTTCAGTAAAGAAGAAGGAACACATAATGGGGAAGTTTCAGAAGTGTGCCTCTAGTAAATTCAATTGAGCATCCAAAATTTTGCCTATCTATGTGAAGCTGACATGACAATAGCAACACTAAGGAGGTTTCTTGGTAGCATGGACCGAAAGTTCAGCAAAGCAGGTGCGAAAAAAATCACATCTACTTTAGTGGGCTGCTGTTTAAACCTCCTTTTTTTCAGATCAAGGAACATTTTATTTAAAAATATTAATGCCATTAAAATTTAAAAAAAACCCAAACAAACATCTAAATGGGACTGGATACAGATCATACTTTCTTCTGATTTAGGCTCCCCACAATTCCTCCAACATGAACAGCAGGACTAGAGCACATTCATGTTAGGGCACAATTTGGCCCACTGATGTCAGCCATTTGAATACACATACAATATGCTGTAAAAGCAAGTATTTATGAAGACTGGACCGTGAATGTGAGGAGAAGGGGCTGAATCATATTCTCATCATGAATGAGTGATGACACCCTTTTATCCAAACAAAAGAACTAATGTTCTACTGGAAGGATAGCCTGAGGCAGGATTGCTTTAGGAGAACAAAGGCACTTGGTTTGTTGGAGCACATGCAGTAAGAGTGCTGACAGATCAAGCAAAAAACACAGTTTAGCTAAAGAAGGACATTTAGATCTGCCCTGTGGATGGGACCAGGGGTCTGGCATTTACAGATTACACATTGGTGAATGAAACAGCAACTGGTGACAAAAGTTTGATAACAATAGTAACAGGGGGGGAAGAGATCATGAAATGTGCAGTTCTCACATGTGATCACTGAGACAGAAACATAGTTCACACTCAACTTAAAGGTCCACAAGATGTGCAGGGAAGCAGTACCAGCTCTAATGGATGAGAGCAGAAGAGTATTTCAATTTGCATTATGATGTCTTCAGCTGCACTTCAGCTGCTGAAAGATATATTGGGAAAGAGCAGGCATCAGAGTAGTCTTTAGCTCAGAGGGAAATTGCTCCCAAAAATCAAATTGTGATTTATTTGTGAGCAGCAAGTAATGAGGACATTTCCTGTGAAACGCCTTCCCTCTGGTGAATGGCAGTGGCTACACTGCTGTTTCTCCTGGTCTGCTCTGTCACTCTGCTTTGGCTCCAGCAGCCCCTGTGAGAGGCCCCGTAGGAGCAGAGCAGGAAGTTCTCCTGGACAAGGGCTTCATCCATAAATACCACACCACTCTGAGGAAATTTCAGTGCCCACCTCCACACCCACACAGGAACACCAGCAATTCCAGACCATGCATCCTGGCCCCAAAGCCCACTTCCACGTTGCTAAGGAGAGTTGTCTGAAGACACAGGCAAGAGCTACATACTTTTAGTCCAATATCTGGCATTTCTTTTGACAGAAGATTGCATGGTATCATGCAGTGCTGGCCATCCTGGCAAGCTGTTGGGTTTGCAAGCCACCCTCAGCCATTTCACGCCTGGCTGCGCACTTGTTCCTCACGAGCACTTGCTTGGGGGATGAGGGCCCCCTATCCCACGCCCCAGGAACTCAGCATCTGTGTGATTTATATGTGCATTTTACACCACGTATGGGATACATAGATGTAATGTAGCCATGGCCCTGCCCTCCCCAGATGACAACATCGCAGCGCAAACATCACGGCATCACTGATGCCAAAACACAAACACCATAAAACAATCATCACGCTGTTGGGGCTATAAACATCACAACATCAACCTGGACCCTAACAGCCTTAATTCATTCCTTTAGGCAATGCTCCAGGAAAAAATGACAAAAAAAAGTGAGGGAGAGAGAAAAAAAGAAGGCAGGGAGGTGGGTCAGTGGCACATGCAGGTGGGGAGTGTGGGCACCCAAACAGCCCCCTCAGCCTAGGGTCCCCAAGGGGTATCTGCACTTTATTAAAACTGGCTCTTCTCATCCCTGATTCATGCATCTCAAATCAGGATGAAATCCTGTAACCACATTAGTCAATCCAGACAGATTCGTCCATTACTTAATGCATTACTCAGATTTCAGTAACAGAAGGTATGTGATCTAGAGTCAAGTTCTGTTATGCTTGGATGAAAATAAAAACACTAAAAAAGTTTGTGGTAACTGCACCTGTGAGACAAGATTCACTGATTTTGGGAATGATGGCTGTGAGTTTTCTAGCAAGTAATTTTAAAAATACATGTCTCTATTTACGTTAACAGCTTTATTTTGATGATCATGTCAAAGGCCTAACTGACTAGCAATGAGCTACCTCTGTCAACAGAAAGCAAAGGGACATTTTCTTCATCATTATTTCAACAACTAGGTTTGGTCCTGTCCAGCTTTTCCTACAGTAGCAGGATAGCATCGAGGATCTATGGCTGTTCATTAGGAAACAAAAACAGAGAGCAGAAAAGCCAAAGACAAGAAAATCATGTCCACTATTTCACTGTCTAATCTGGAGAGAGAGAGGAAAAAAACAAAGTCTAAAACTGAGTGTTTCAATTTCAGCTCAAATTTATCTATCAGAGCTTGTGTGGGCAGGAGCATAACTTGCTTTTTTTGCCAAGAAACATCTCCCAAAGGTTGCACGTGATTTGAAAACAAAGAAAACAAATTTCAAAAAGGTAACAAGCCTCCACTGCTCCTCGCCCACTCTTGGTTTGACAGGCAGTTTGGCCTTTAGTGAATCCCTTGAGTCATCCTCCATGGTTCTCAGCAGCATGATTGCTGGCTGTTCCCTGTGGCCACTTTGGCTGGAGGTATCCCTGCCAGAGGATACAGAGGTGTTTGGAGCTTTGCTGTTACAGCTCAGGAAGTCTCCTGGGCCTCTCATGCAGTGTCACCAAGGACAGAACCAGATACACCAAGACAGATGTTGTTTTTTCAGTGTTGCTATCCTGGTTCCTGCCATGGCTTCCTTATCTATCCAGTCCAGCAGGATAACAGCTCTGAGGCACTCTGTGAGGGTGAAGGGAATGAGATGCTTCTGGGGACTAGGTAGAGAACCTTAAGGGATGCATGCATGACAGGAGGAACTTCCCTAATCCTCAGCACCTTGGCCCAGCTGTGCAGTGCTGCCCTTCCAGGGGCATGCTAGGAGAGAATCTGATAAAAGCTAAATCAGAGCTAGAAGTCCCCTGAGTCCCACCAGTATTCACATGCCTTCAGAGCACTGCATCCTACCATCCCCTGCACCCAGCTTGGCACCTCCTCTGATAACCCTGTCTGATCTAGTCTGCTCTGGCCCACTTGTGGAGACCAAATGTTTTGCTTACCCCAGGTTCAAGACATCCCTTGCAGTTGGTCCACACTCTTCTTGTTCAGTATAGATCAAATCAAAGAGCATATGGATTAAATGAGAGAAGATGATCAACACTGATAGCAAGAGTAACCCTAAGGTCATCGTTGTGCTTATACCAAATAAACACCTACACCATGGCTCCCAAATATAGCTAAAGCCAGGAAATCTGCTGGAGCTCAGATCCATCTTTCATCCTCTCCCTCATTCTATCACCCTCTCCTCAGCAAGTTTGCGGGCATTGGGCAGAGGAATTCAGCACAACCACACCCTGTGATCTGGATTCTGACCTCTTCTTGGAACTGACCGCAAGTAGGGAACTTCAGTAAACCCTGCATGCAGCTCACTGAAAATTCCTGTCAGGGTGACACATGCCACTCAGAGCCAGTGACAGGGACCCCTTGAGGCTGACTGTAAATGTCGATGTAGAAATACCCAGAGAGTGTTTGGGAGGAAAGCCAGGAGGTGAGTTTGTGGGACTTCATATCTGCAGCCTCGTCGATGTGTGTGTTGAAATCTCCCAGGATGACAAGTCAGGGTATTTCATCACCATTGTCAACAAGGTATCAGTGAACTCCTTTATGAACCCTTTAGTCTGTAGAGGTCTGTAAATGAGCATAAAACTCTGTGTTAGCTTTGGCTCAGGTTTCTATTGTCAGATGAATGAATTCAAACCTTACTCTCTGCCTCCATTAGAGCTGCCAAATCCCACCCAGAGGAACTATCTGGGGCAGCAAACAGCTTTATCAAACCTCTGTGCCCCTACATTGAGCTGAACTTTTTGCCAAGTGCTGTGCATGATCTCCTTGCTTTGCAGAAAAATCATGCACCTCCAGGAATGTTCACAAACAGCACAGATTCTTTCTAGTCCTGTTCATTGAGCAACAGGAGACTTGCCGCCCTGGGGGACTCTATATTCACACATCAAGGGCTATCAAACTGTAAGTGCATGAGTTGGGGCTTCAGCAGCTCACCTGCAGAAACCTGGAACTGTTGGATCTTTTTCCCCAGTGTGCATCTGGCTGTGTGTTTCTGACTGGTTAGTTTCTTCCTTACCTTGCTCTGAAGTCTCTTCTCACAGCTGAAGACTCAGTGTTCAGGTGGGTAGCAGAGAAAGTTGTCTCTTTTTTTTTTCTTCTTCTTTTTTTCTTTTTTTTTTCCTTTTTTTTTTTTCTTTTGGAGTGTGTCTTCTTCACATCTTCTGAGACAGCAGAAGCACTCTAAACCTTTTAAAGCCTTTTAACTTCTACAACTCCATTGTCATCTAGGAGAAGCCACTGCTCCCTGTAGTTCTAGCAGATATTCTCTCAGAAACACTCAGACTATTTAACGGCACTTTTCTGAGACCCATTCTGCCCTTATTTGCATCTTCCCTAGGTCTGCTCAAGGATTGTTTGTGTCCTACACAGGCGAGTGTGTGGAGCCTTAGATAATGCAGCCAACAGTAAGAATGTGAGTGCCAGCAGTATCCACAGCTCCTGATAAACAGAAAACCAGGGCCACCCTGGCTAAACGAGCAGACAGTGACCTTGCTGCTAAGTGAAGAAAAGCACCCTTTTTCTTGCTCACAACACATGGGCTACATGTAAAAATAGCCGCTAGTCAGCAGCAGCGTGTTGCTCACATGTGTGGGCAATATGAGAACAAACTTATTTCCAAGCCCCCTTTCTCCTATTAGTTCCTCATCTTTGATTTTATGTGGGTTATCCAAGGATGAAGGTTATCTGAGGACTTATTTTCAGCAACAGATATTTTTAAAGGGCTGGAGGTTATCTGAGGTTTAGCTTGAAAATAACAGTACTTTGGAGAGTTTGCAGCCCCGCCTAGTATCATTTAGTTGAAGATATGCCCACATGCACAACTAGTCAATTCACTCTGGTAATTTAACAGTGTTGTTGAATTCTTCACTGATGCAATGGTTTCATTTGCCAGCTTTTATAAATAACACTTTCTAAAAATCTCTGTTTACCCAGGACATCCTGGCTAACAGTGTTTTGGCAAAGGGTACTTGTTCCTTCGTCATTTTGTAGCAAGACCTCAGCAAAGCAACTGACACGGACGTGAAGCTGTCAGCCACTACAAAACTCCAGTTCAAAACACAGAGTAAAATCTTCTTCAATAGCACTCATTAACAAACCTTATTAAACCCATTCTTCAACTGCAATTTACCTTCGCAAAAAAACTCAAATTAACAGTCTGAGGTTTTCTCTTCAAGGCACCCAGTGGTCACAGACTGTGTCATCTGAAGTTCACACTCAGCTGTAGGAAGGAGGGTGGTTAACATGTGCGCTCCTGGCATATTGAAACTACCCACAACAGGGCAAAAGCCTGTCTGGACACAGAGGTTTCCTATAGGCAGATCCTAAAATGTGCAACAGACTCACCAAATCACTAAGGGGCTGGATAAATTTCATTGCAAGCAAGTACTCTATAAGACAGTACACACTTGTTTACCTTCTTTTTGTTACTAAAAATCCAAAGGAATACTGATGAAAGAAAACAGAAACTGGAAAGACTGTGGTGCCATCTGACAGACTGTCCTATTCTCCATGTCCCTGAGGAGAGGAGGAGAGAGCTGCAAGGATCAGAGTTAGTCACTTTGCCCAACGCCAGCTGGATGGGGCTGGGAAGTCCTGATGATGAGACCAAGCTTGCCCCAGGCAGGTTTCACACCACTGTGTGGTAGTACATCTCAGGCCACAGAACGAGCTGGAAGAAACTTCTGCAATGCTTCAGGCAACTTCTAAAACTATAAAAACAGCCACAAACTGTGACCTTGTATCCCATCACCTGCACATAAGCAAACATCGGCAATTTGCCCTTTCTGTGGAAACCCGCGTCCGCCTTTGTTTTAATTGAGCTGCTGAAGAGAGGACACCGATATGGTTAGAAATAGCATATTGAGAGGTCAAGAATTCAATCTGTTCTAGAGAGGCCTACCGCTGGTTTTCTTGGCAGGGCTCGCAGGGGCTGCCGTCAGCCAGTCCCCAGGAAGCTTTCTCGCTCACGGAGCGAGGGCGGTGCGAGTGGCCAACATTCAGGCTTGGCTGCCGAACCAGAGGAAGGTTTTCAAAATGTCAGCTTGGATCAACCTAAATCAATTTTCCGAGGCACAAAGGGATGGAGGGGGAACTGAAAAGTGTCCTTTACTTCTGTTTCACATCTCACAGTTTCATTTTCAGTTACTGGAATGATATATAGAGGGAACAAAAGGCCAGGCAAGACCTGCACCTTCCTTATATCGTAGCCCAGCTTTTAAGGAGTCCAGGATATGAGTAATCGAAATTCATTTATTTTTCCTCATTTGCACTTCCCCCATCCACTTCACAAGAGTGTCTCAGAAACCTTCCTCATGGCTTTCTGGCCCTGATCCACCAGTCAAAGCCAGCTGGTCCCCAAGACAAACCAAAGATTCTCTTTCCAGGGTATACCATGCGGAATGTACCCATTGGGGCTGGCAACATGGGTTCAGAGCCACTCAGACACTACTGCAAGTGATACTTGGCTGCCTCATACATTCCATGCATGCTCTATTTACCTTGTGATTGCATGAGGGTGTTAAGACATCACCACGAATTTCAGGAGTGCCCCATTGCACACACAGCTTCAAGCACATGGACCCATGATTCACTCAAGATGACTGCAATCACATGAATGGAGTGTCTTGTTTCATCTTGCTTTTTTTAAAATTTCAACTGGAGTGAGACAGTCCATCCTAAAGCCCCAGGCTTTGGCCCACTGCTCCACATGTCTGAAATCTGATGACTGTGTTTGGTTTAGGGCTGGCTGCAACCTGCAAAAACTTTGAGAATTTAAGCCTTGCTGTAGTCCAGTTCCACAGGATACTAAGTAGGAATATCTAATCATAAATAGCCTTTTGGGGTTGCTGTGCATGATGCTGGGATTGTGCAAACCCTTGCATTATTCTCCAAAAGTGAAATATAAATGGACTCCAAAAAAAAGTACCTTTCTAAGAGTAAAGCATCCTGTTGAAGGCACCAGTATAGGGAAGGGCAACATCAAGTGCAAAAGAAGTTTTCAATATGAGGAAGGAGGAAGTCATTCAACATGAAGAGAAACAGAGAGATTTCCCTCCAGAAAAAATGCCATGGTACTGTGTTCAGTATTCAACATCCCCATGACCTGGGCAGCAACCAGAAATCCTTCATTTTAATGCCAGTAAAATCACAGGAATTGCTTTCCTAAGTTACAAAAACAGCCTGGGCTCCAGGGGATTCCCTGTTCCTCTGAGCAGTTTGTGCCCATCTGTGTTGCAGATAGCAATCATTATCTCATCCAAGAGAAAATGAGCAGCATTTGCAAAGGAAAGGCAGAAGAACAGCAGCCTTTGCCAAACCAAAGAGGGGCCACCAATAAGAAGATGGTTATTTTTCAATAAGGGCCTATTTTTACTAAAATGTGATAAAATGTGCATCATTATGAACAGCCACACAAACACAAATATTGGCATCCATGTGACATATGACCTTTGTTCCTATGGTGATTTTGTTCCAAAGAAAAATATGTATCACTGACTTAGGATGTTTTCTTAGCGTGTAATGCTTATATTAACATAACAGTATCTTACAGCACCACTACAGTAAGCTTGTGTCAGCACTTCCATTGCAAATAACCCTCTTCAGGACTGTTTGGGTGAAGCAGGATATGTAAAGGACTGTTTAGGGGCAGAGTTTCAGTCTTAATTTTGAAAGCATTTGTTTTGTTAAATCAGAAGATGTACAAGCTTCTTGGCCTCACATTTGATCAATCATTACTTAAATCCTATTCTGGGCAGTAGTGGTTTTTGTGGATGGGATTATGGCTATCTTTTCATAGCTAGGAGAGGAATCTTGCCAAATAACATGATTGTAACATTAGTTTTGCAGTATGCACTGCTATTCCTGAAGACCCAACTCTTGGCTTTTGTGAACTTCTGAGAAAATCCTGCTTAGCTTTTGTTTATTTGTTTGCTGCTCTGTAGAAAAAGTAAAAAACCCAGCTTCTGAGAGAAGAAAGGGCATGTTAACTTTAAAGATTCTAATACCCCAAGTCAAATGTAAGAACAGAAATAGCATTCATTTTAACTAATATTTTCAGCCTTTAACTTTTCATGGTTATATGTTGAATATATATATATTCAACTGATATATACAAAATATGTGCATCTATAAATATAATTTATATATATATATATATATATGTATATGTATATTCAGGCTTATATATTAATAAATATATTTAACAAATATTTTCAGCCTTCAAAGGTTGTAGGCCTGTGACAAGATTTGTGGCATTCAATAAAGTGAATCTGACAGTGTTAACAGAAAAGTCAGAAAACCCTGCAGTCCATCCTACATAACCACTGTAATTGAATCAGGGTTTCTGGCTTGAAGTATGATTACAAGTTACAGAAAGAACAGAAGTTACATCCATGGCAGCCTAGGGTCTTTGTCGGGTTTGAGTGCAATGCACATGTTCAACAAAGAGGCAATCCAGTATTAGGAGTGTTTGTGGATAGACAACTGGAAGTCATTGGAGGATAAGAAAGTGGTCGTGGTTATAGATAGAGGGGTACCTTTATATCTATTCTATTGTGTATCAGAAAATAAATTTCCCCATCAATTAAACAGTTCTGTCTCAGCCTATAACAACAAGAGAGTTTTATATTATGAGGTTGTACATAATTTGGGGAATAGTTTTCTACATAAATCTCTAAAGCCAAAAGAATGGAGACAGTAGTAAAAGCTATGTATACTCATTATCAATAGTGTCTGACAAGCCAAAATATTTTTCTAATACTCTGTATTGTGCTAGTGAGTAGTAGGTGTAGCATGCATGCAGAGCTGCTTCACTGTGAGAAAGCCTTTATCTGACATTGGAGAGGACTTCATGCATCTTTAATAGTATTTCAAATTACAGCCTCAAATATTTTTTAAAACATAGGAGACATATTGGGAGGTACCCACAGGTGGTATTACTTCCTTCTTTGTGGATGTTCCACAGAGTAAATTAATTGCATTTCCTTTAGAAAGAGAGGTGGAGAGAGAGATAGCGAATGAAAAAAAGAGAAAAAATGCAACGTTGTGGGGTTAGCAGACCCAGAGGAGTAGTAATAAAATCTACATTATGTTCATACCACATGTCAGTGTAAAGACACACAGCTTTCCTGATAGACTGCAAGAGGTTTGTTGTGCTGCAAATTAAAATAATATCGCAGACCAAGGAGAACATGGGCACAACCAGCCATGAGCAAAAGTACCCGTCCCCTATGAAGGACATGCAAAGGGAGCAGCAAGCAAGCTCTCAGTTCTCCTTCTCAGGCTGGGGCACTAACACAAAGGGAGGGGCAAACTCTAATCCCCCAGATATGGAGAAAAAGGTACTTGCTATCTTGGTAACAGAAAATAATTCAGAGGCGTGGAGCTAGATCCTGAGGTGTCAAACATGCTGCTCACAGCCAAGTGCCAGATCCAGGAGGTGGCTGGAAGTCCTCACAAACACCCATTTGCCCCCTGTTTCCTCCTCCCTTTTTTCAGCCTCAGCACATTGGTCTTTCTGGGCTGGTTTTCAGAGGTGCCTGTGGATTGAAGGGGCAGCCTAAGCACCTGACTTCAGCAGTCTGGATTGCCCATCTGGGGTTGTGCAGCTCCTGAGCTATCTGTCAA